CCGTACGGGTTTCTTCTATGGGTTTTCTTTCTACAGTTGGGGAGGGGTTTTTACGGGATTTGGCCTACGGGTACCACAGAGCTGTACGGTACCCGTAGGCCAATTCCCCGTAAAAAAATTTTATGGGTTTCTACGGGGCATTTTTAGCAGGGAAGCCAATTGGGTTGGTCTATTTCTTATAGGTCTATGATCGGACGGCTGTGACGGAACCACCAGAAATCACACTGATGTCGGTGCGGCCGGTTCTTTGCTATCATTAGAAGTAAGCGTTTTTCTTTGTAATGGTCTCTTTCGACCATGTAATGCCGCCCGAAAGCGTGTCCCTGGCTCTCGCCATTTCAATGCCCTTCGGAAATTGTTCTGGATGTTAAATCGAAACTCATCCGTAAAAGAGTACGTGGCCCCACTGCTTTGGGGTCCAAATTCGATGATAATGGGCCCAGCTGAACCCAACGAGATAATATACTGGTAGAGAGCGTATTGCAACCTTCAACCGGTTCCAACATTAGTGACACGTGACTGCTGCGCGAATTCCGAAAGTCCGGAAATACTTTACATTGCTTCCTATGGGACGAAAGACTGCTGCTCTGCTTGGTCACATAAAATTTAAGTAAAAATGGTTATTCGCTGTAGCGCCTACGGATGTAAAGAAAGTTTCGTGAAAGGAGGACCTGTAACCTTTCATAGGTAAGTTAAAACTGCATGATTTATTATTTTATTTTCAGTATTTCTGTCGTTTTACTATCTCTGTTGAATTGGTTGGAAATTTTCAGCCATATTGTACAAGAAAATTGCCGCTGTATATGACATTTTCAGCATGTATTATTAGCATCAAAATGTATTAAATACTGTGACACTATTTACTGGATTCATCCTTTACAAATAATTGAATTTTATATGTTTTTTCCGTGTATTCCGTTGAAATAGAAAGCTGCGCCAATTGGCGTTAACTTTTTTTCGCCAAGTCGTACGCGTTTTGATTTCATAAACAATTACTGCTTGCGATAAAAAAAGAAAAATGCTGTTATTAGCATTAAATTATTGAGAAAAGATTGTGCGATATGTTTACTTTGTTAAAAAAAAAAAAAAAAGCTGAAGATCTTGATTCATGCAACATTGAACATAAACAGTTAAACAGCATTATTTTAAAAATCAGATTACTTTTATAAAGCTCAATGCTGTATCATTATTTTCTATAAAATCAATTAAAATAAAAATAATCTGGATTATAATTCTGTCTCATCTACGATGCTGTTAGAAATTTAATGTAATTGAAAAAATGTGATGTAAAAAACTTAACCATATTTTAAATAGTATTTTAAAAAAAAAAAAAAAAGGAGAGTGAGAGAATTTTTAACTGTAATATCGTTTTGATCCTAATAATAAATACTGAGTTGAAGTTTGTTACCGTTTGATACATATTCAATATAAAATATTTGTTATAGTTAATAAGATGTATTCATCCCCCCATGACATACACATGAGTGTGGAAATCAGTAATTAAGATTGCATTATTTTGTTCCAGTAATATAATCTCAAGAAAAGAGAGTGCATTATTTTGTTCCAGTAATATAATCTCAAGAAAAGAGAGGTGGTGCTCATTTTAGGAGTTGAACCTGCATGCAGTGAAATATAATTTTGTTAATAGATTTTTATGAAGAAAGAATTGTTGATGGCAAAATCAAACTAACTTTTTTCAACATTGTCTTGAACACAAATTTTTTCCCATCATTAACAATCTAATTTGAAAGTGACTCATTTTCTTTTAAATTTCACTTGACCCTCTTTTCTCCAGAAGGCAACTTTTGACCTGTAAGTTGATGTATTACAAATTGTGTTTTTGAATGTACGTACAATTGTAAAATAATTTTAAGAGAACTTTAAGGTGGTCAAAAAGGACCCTTTGATTTCCATTCCAATACAGAATCACGAAATAAAAATTCTCATGTAATAAAAGGCTAAGGGGAAAAATGCCACCCCCCATATACAGACAATTATATTATTGTTTTGACTCTAGGTATATTTACATTTCTTTCAAATGAAAAATTACTACACTTTTAAAATTTCATGATATTTTTCAGCATGTACTTAAAGAATTCTTAAATGATTCTGAAAAATTACCATTCTTCTGCAGTATACCTGTATGACCTGGAATACATATATGTGTGTAATTTAATACTTCATTTGCTACTTTAGTACAATTAAGTTTTTTTTTTTTTTTTTTTCATTTATAGTTTCCCTAAAGATCCAGAAAGGCAAAAACAATGGGAAGTACAACTGCGGCGGGAAAACTTTAGAGTAACCAAGTATTCAAAGTTATGTTCGAAACATTTTACATCAGACTGCTTCGGATAGAACAAAGTTTTTTAAATAAAAGCATTTTTAATTTTTTATTTACTTTTTAATATTCAAAAAATATCACATTCTTTATATAATAAAGATTTCAATGGTTCGACAAGCTAATTTAAAAATATATACCACCTCCAAAAATAATAATAATAAATAAAAAAAAGTTTGATAAGTCAAATTTTTCATATCAGAGCCATATATAGGGGTGCAACAAACAACGGTGCAATAATTTTAAAGCGATTATTAAAAATATAGATAAAATATTCAGGAAAAAGAGGTTATTATTATTGTATTTCATATTATATTGCATTATTGTATTTCATAAAGTTATTCATGTAGTATATAACAATAACTAGTTTCTATATTTTGGCCAAATTGTGTGTTTTGTTTTAAAAAGCTCATTACTTATTCACATATCAAAAATAGGAAATTTGGAATTATACTTGACTACCATTTTGAGTAAGTGATTTTTAGTACTTGTTCTCGATATACTTTAGAAAAAATAATTTTAAATAAATAAAATAAAGCATTAATCCCACTTAAAATAAAAAATATACTACTTTGTATGAACACCAAAACTTTTAAATATGAGCAGGACATGCTTTTCAAACGAAAAGCTTTATTTCTTCATTCAGATGCAAGTTGGATCCTTTGCACAGCTGGTGAAAGAAGCGAAAAGCTTTTTGTTCAAAATGTGCGTCCTGCTCGCGTTTAAAAGATTAGTGTTCATACAAAGTAGTATATTTTTGTTTTACTTAATTTTTGAGTGTTTATTTGTAATTAAGCCACTTACTTTATAGTAAATACTATATTTAAATGCACATTTTCATAATGTGTTTATTTAATTGGGATACAGGAATAAAATAGAATATGTATTGTCATGTTTGAATTTATAATTCAGAGAGAAAATTTTATTTTGGAAATGTACATTTTACAGCTGATCTGCAAAATATGAAATCTCACTAAATTTAATGTACAGTTAAGGCAGTAGCTTCCAAGTTTGCATGAAATTATTTTCTGGACATTGCTGAATTTATAAGCACTTTAATATGCAAGTAACTGAATAAAATGGGCATAATCAATTACTTAATAAAGATTTTTTTAAAAATTACAAATTCTTTACTATCGTATGTTTCCATAATGCAAGTACTATTGCTAACACCGAGAGGTCAAAAGTAAATGAAATTCTTCCAAAAACTATTTCCGACTTTAAATTAATTAAAATTATGTTTACTTAAATATATGAAAGTAAAATATTTTTCTTTAATATTTTACTTTCATATATTTAAGTAAACATAATTTTAATTAATTAATTCAGTATAATTTATCTTTTTGTATCATAAACTATATTAAGTTTGGACAGTAATAGTTTATAGTTCCAGCTGAAAGTCAACAGTCTGTAAGTATATATTTAATCAATGGCATAAATACATATAATACAATGTGATTTTCTTTTTCTCTTTAGGATGCAATGCATTAAAATTAAGCGAGATTTTTTTACCTTCTCAAATATTATAACAGTAGAGCAATTAATTTTTTAACGTTATTCAAAATTAAAGTTTCCATCTCAATTTTTTATTATTTATTTAGATTTTCTTCCTAAAATTATTTAACCTAAACATCTTAAACAATGGTGCAAAATAATTTAAAGCGATTATTAAAAATATAGATAAAATATTCAGGAAAAAAGGGGTTAAGTTATATCTAAATATAATTGTAAAAATTTGAACAACCTAATTCGAAAATTCGAACAACCTAATTCGAGGCCGTTGTCTGCTGACTGCTAGGAGACGGAAATAAAAAGCACTACCTGCCATATCAAAAGTGGGCCAAACTGGCGATGAACAGCCTAAGCTATCACTCCCCAAGAGCGCCAAGAGCATTAGTCACGTGGTATATGTTGGAGACACCCTAGCAGACGAATTCTCTGTAGGGTGAGCCGTCTACCTGTTATATGAAGTCGTTGGCTGAACCGCGCTTTGGCATAAGATGGAGACAAAGAACACAAACCACAGATTGTCGGGCGTACAATTCACCTTCACGCAGTCGACGAAACACAATCTGGAGGGATATAGAACGTCCTGCAGCAGCAGAGAGATGCGACACCGGCTGTCGTGCTATTAATGATCTATCGCGTCTTGCACACAGCAGCAGGAAGCGCTCGTCGGATTGGGGTAATCCTCCAAAGTCCAGACCCACGTCTTCTACAAGAGTTTTGATCCCTCCGGTAACGATTCCACAGCATATTGATGGCACATTCAGCTCTCTCGCAATAGCGGATTCTCTTGCATCAGGTTGCAACATCCCAATAGCCCTCCAACACATTTCGTCGTGCAAATGATGTCTTTGGCTCATGCTTTCCACTTTGGCTATCTCGGATTACACAGAAGTATCGCTGCTTGCGAACTGACACATAAGCCCGGTATGCCTCTTTCCAAGGTGTATTGTGGTGTGACTGCGGGATTGCGTTTTATGCTAATTTTGGTTGCCTATTTGCATTCGTAGATGCAACCTCTACTTCATATCTAAATTGTAGGTTTTCATTCCCCTTTTGTACCCTTTTTTTAAACATTTGCTGCTTATTTTTTGAACACGAGTGTCTATTACAGTTCTGTCAACACTATATATAAATAACTACATATTCCAGGGTAAAAATAAACCATAACTATTCATTTATTTCTGAGTTAGAGAAAGCCTCTATATTAAAATAACATTTCTAACTCTATAATAAACTTGAAAAATAATAAATTAAATGTTTTTATAAGATACATTATTTTCAGACATTTACTAAAATATGCTAATTGCTCATTCCAAAGTGTTATTTTTAACTACATTTACAGGAAATTAACGCCTATGCCAAACTGAAGGCCTTCTTTAATTTTATCACCAGACTGGCTCGATAAAGGCATACAACAGTTTAATTCAAATCTAGCCACACTTGCAACAGAGAAAACTAAACCAATCCCACATGACCACCTTAGACCTGAAAGAAGCACCATTGCATTATCATGGTAATCGTCAGTAAAAACAAAATTACCAATGTTTCCTGTATTCAAAAATATATGTATTCTACATATTTTGTCAAGAACTTGCTTCAGAGGACGAAAAGGCAAAGGTGAATATGCATGAAGGCCTCCCGCCCAGTAACCTTCAGCCCCAAGAAAATAATCTTGAGTTTGGGGACCAATGCCATTCATAGAGAAACCCCTTACAGATAATGGTCCACCTAGAAAGAATCTATCATTAATTCTTACAGACTGATCAGTTCCTATGGTACGAACTAAACCACCCATTAATGTTGATTGTAAAACTAAATCACCTAAAACGCATTTGTTTATTTGGTACTGAATTTCATGCTTAAGGAAACTGACATTACCACCAAGTCCAGCATATTCTTGATATAAACGAAAATAACTGCCACGAGTAGGAAGACAAGGATCATCTCTCTGATCCATACATAAAATATGCTTCAAAGATGATTTCACACTATGGCCAGCTTCTTCCCTTATTTCAAAAGGAACTACAGGGTAAAGACAGCGAAGATTTCTCCACACTCCTTCCCATTTTAAAGAATGCTGTACTTGAGGTGATGATTCAAACATAAATTCAACTCCAAGGCCTCTTATTTTTTCTTGGTAACCACTCCATGGATATTCAGTAGTCTGTCCAAAAAGAAACTGATTTAGTCTAGGTTTAGCCCAATTTAAGAATGGTTTAGTAGATGTTACATTGAAACCAACAGTCTTTTTACCATATTCATAATCAGCAGATAGAGCTTCACCTCTTCCAAACATATTTGGAAGTAAAAATCTAAAAAGTAAACTGCCTTCATTATTTCCAGCTAATACGTTAATGTTACCATCAATTCTAGATTTTTCTCTGATATTAAAAATAACTTCTAATCCATCAGGTGTTGCATCGGGACCTTTACTAGTATCAAGAATAATGTCAATGCTTTTAAATGCCTGAAGAGTTTCCAGTTGTTGTCTTACGCCATGGGCCCTTAAGACTACTTCTTGAACGTTTTGAGCCTTCAAAAGATCTCCAATTACTTGAAGGAAGACATCATCTTTAGTTCGTTTAATTCCATCAAAATGAATTTTGTCTACACGAGCTTTTACTTCATCCAATGGTTTCCAATTTTCCTGAGTCATATTCCTCATTTGAGGAGGTGATTTGGCATGAACAGAGCCCATTTTGTCCAATACCTTAAAATAAATATATAAAATGATTATTTTCAAGAAACATGATTTCATTAAAAATATCTAACACTTAAAGAGGAATTATTTTCATAACTTCCATTTTAATTGCCCTAAGGAGGAAATCCATCATTAACCCCTTAATGCACCAATAAGAATTTAGAGAATGAGTTTTTTTTCGCCAATTCGTTTTTTCTTTATTTTAATTCAAAACTATAGCGAATACATTTTGTTAATATCTGAAATTATTTACAGCTGAAAAAAATTCTTTAATGTATATTTACTCGGGTGCGTACAAATAATTTAGTTTGGTGTATTCACGTTAACTCAGTTAAGTGCATTAAGAGGTTAAAGTAAATTTAAAAAATACTACTGGTGAAATGGCTTAGCAAAGAAAAGAGTAAATGCAGAGATTCACAATGGAATAAATGTCTAAATTATATATATATATATATATATACTAGTTTCGGGGGGGGGGGAAACAGTAAAATTTTGCGATTCAATTAGCCTCAAAATGTATACTGTTAATAAAACAAATAACTACATCTAAATACGAGGGTTGGACTTTAATAGTGGCAACACAGCTGAAAAAACGCTACGCAACAAAACCAAAGAATATCGCGTATACCACACATAAACTACATATCTACCTTACCTCTCAGCAAAAAGATTCATCCTGCCTACGTCACGCGCATGCGGAGTGACGCGAAGCACGGATTCTTGTATTAGCTCGCAGTCTAAAGTGTTGTCAGGATGTTTTCAAAACAAGAACAACGATGTTGGATAAAAAATTGAATGTGCCAGAGGTCATACAGCACGACAGTGTCATCAAGGGCTTCAAGAGTCTTGCGGGGAATCTGCATTGCCTTACAGAACCGTAGCAAGATGGGTGAAAGCATTCAATGAAGGACGCCAAAACGTGGCAGACATGCTGCGGCCAGGTCGTCCGAGTGTCAGCGATGCAGACGTGCAAGCTGTTGCCGCACTAATGGACAGTGATCACCGCCAAACGATTCGTTAGCTGGCTGGACAAACAGGATTAGCGCATACGACTGTGCTGCACATTCTGAAGGAACGCCTGTCCATGAGAAAAATTGCTTCACGATGGGTTTCACATCAATTGACGGAAATGCAAAAATGGCTACGATAAAATGCTGCCCGAACCCACCTGGAGCGCGAAGGAGATGCTTTTTTACGCGGTATCATTACGCTGGATGAGACTTGGGCCCGATCGTACCAGCCAGAACTGACACGCCAATCAAACGAATGGCGTCATCACGGGTCACCACGACGTTTGAAATTTCGTCAGAACCCCAGCAATGTGAAAGTTATGGTGATTCTCATGTACGACTGTGATGGTATCATCCTAACACATACCGTTTCCCCACAGCAGACCGTCACTGCGCAGTATTACTGCTCATTTTTGGAGCACAATCTCCGACCAGCTTTGAGAAAAAAACGGCGACACTTTCTACAGAACGTCCTCTCATTTTGCATGACAATGCTCAGCCGCATGCAGCGCAAGCTGTGGCTGATTTGTTCAAGCGATGGGGCTGGGAAGTGCTTTACCATCCACCATACTCCCCAGATCTAAACCCTTGTGACTAAATTCCTAAGATGAAGGAACCACTTCGTGGCACTCACTTCCAAACTGTTCCTGAGATTCTTGCGGCAGTAGAGCAGTCCATTCAAACTATCAACAAAACAGGCGCTGCTACAGGTATTCTGCAACTTCCACATTGTTGGAAACAGTCTGTACACAATGCTGGCGACTATATTGAAGGACTGTGAAACATGGTGACATGAAACACTTTTGTATTCCTTGTAAATAAATAGTTGCCACTATTAAAGTTCCAACCCTCGTATTTATTTTAATGATCGCACTTTATTTAATAACCATATTATTTGGTTCTTTTTATTATTTTTTTTGCCATTTTATTAATATTATAAAATTTTTGCATTATTATAAGTCAATTACATACAATTGTTTGTTGGTGAACTGGAATATTCTGACTGTTTTCAGATAAAAAAAAAGTTCAGTACAGTTCTTGGAATATGTGCATTTTAAGAAAGAACAGGAATTTAGAATTGCATTTAATTATTTTGTCGGTTATAATGCTTCCTTGTTATTACAGTTATAATTAAATGTATGAAATATTTAAGTCTATTGAGTTTTGATAGAATTGGTAAATTTCTTTTCTACATTTAATACAGAGTTTAGTGTTTTGTATTTGCACATAGGAAAAAACATCTGAGGATATTTTGTAGCTTTTTACAGAATCTGGAATTATAACAGCCTTGTGCAGAATAACTTCGGTATATCATATTTATTACAATTGGGTATAAGTTCCTGTTTTCTACTAATTTTTTTATTTTAAGCACTGTGAACTATCACAGCCAATTCAACTTAGAGCTGATTCATTTTATTTGCTGGCAAATTGGAATATATTAACTGTAATGAAAAGTTGGTTGCAGTATTTGAAACGTGTGCATTTATTGCACTGTACTCATTTATTGTTCACGTTGTGGATGTCTTTTGTAACCACCTATCCATATTTCTATAAATATGTAACTGAAATTGTTCTTCTCAACCGCAAATGCACCCTTCTTCCATCACTGCACTATCGTCTTCGTCCAGCATTTGTTTGCACTACCCCCAGCAGTCATCTTGAACACAATATGTATATATAAGTGTGTTATTTTGATCAAGTTTTTTCCGTCAGCGTGGCTACCTGGCCGATATGCTAACTACCCAGTGGACCGGCTGCTTTGCTGTCGGTGAAAAGAAAGAAAGTATGATGGATTGGTAAATATACTAACTGTATGAAAACTTAGTTGCAGCATTTGAAACATGTGCATTTATATAGCATAACTCATTGGTATATAATATGTTCTGAATAACTTTTGTATTTCATGTTTGTTAGAATTGGGAATTGGTTCCTGTTTATCTGTAGATGTTTTTAATTAGTTGAAGAAATTGGGCAATATTATAGCCATTTTATACGCATGATTAGCTATATTATACGTAATAAAATAAATAACAGTTTTTTTTAATATGTGCTCTGATATATTTTAGAAATACCTTTTAATTTTTATAGATCGGAATTGTTTAACAAAATCTGTCGTTTTGTGCTATTTTAGAATTTTATAGCAAAAAGTTATTATTTTAAACTGTAATGAAAAATTAGTTGCACTTTTTTTTTAACATGTACATTTGTAAATTTGTAGTGTGATTGATTGGTAAATATTCCAACTGTAATGAAAAATTAGTTGCAGCATTTGAAACATGTGTATTTTTATGGTACAATTGATTGGTAAATAATATGTACTGAATAATTATATATTTTATGTTTATTATAATTGGGTATTAGTTCCTGTTTTTCAGTAGACGTTTTTAACTACTTGAAGAAATTGTGTAACATTGTAGCCTTTTTATAAACACAATTAGATACAAGTAATGGAATATGTTAAAGCATTTTTTAGCCTATGTGCTTTTTACTGTTGGAATACCAGTAAATTTGTATAGACTGGAATTATATAACACATATGTCGTTTTGCACAATTTAGAATTGTATTGAAAAAATTTAAGAATTAGTTTTCTTTCTTTTTTCTTTTTTAATCTGGAAGCCAAGTTACTATTTACACAACATTTGCTTCTGTGGATAATAGTAAAATAGTGTACATATTACTATGAACTTTCCAACTGCAATTTCTTGATTGCTTTGTGAATAACTGTGACACAGTGTGCAAATTCCTATGGACACACATAATGAGGCGTGCAAATTGCTATGGACACGAATCTATGATGTATTGAAATGGACAAGTGTTTACGTGAACAATGAACTTAACAAAAGTGTACTTCGAATTTACTTAGAATCCAGTTTATATGAACATAGAATAGTCTACACAACATCATAAACTTTGGGCTATGGAACTATCAACTGCCTGAACTGATGTGACTGGCCTACTCTGTTGATAACTGCAACAATAGTACGGATACACATCATTAGGTGTGTAACTGATAAGAGCATGAAGTTATGACGTATTGAAGTAGACATAGGTTTAGAGACTGGTTAATATATATCAGTTCCACTCTCTACAGCATAAATCTTATCCATGACAATGTGACCGTATATATTTTTTATGTATGGATTATTATGTAACAATTATTGTAAAGATGATATTGTCAATTTAGCATTACAATATTACTATCATTGATTCAATGAATAATACCAGCGGTAATGGTAGATTCTTTTCTGTCACATGGACATAACTCTCATTGGCGTAGAAGTGTAGGTCGGAGGTTCATGTGGCGGCGTTTTGGTCATTAACCACTATACCGGCTGAACGGCACTAAAACTAAATATAGTTTCTGTAGGCTATTGTTCTGTTGAAGGATTACTGCATTTAAAATGTAGAACTGATTTAAAACATTTAGAGACTTCATCTCTCTGAACTGCTATTACAACATTTTCACCATTATTGCAGTACCATATGTTAGTACAATTTCATCAATTAGAGTACTGAAGGTTCAATGACTTCTGATAATTTACCACCATTTTTGACTATGTAACTCAAAGAAACTTTCAGCTTAAATGGTATTTCATTAAAAGTTTACCAGCATTTAAGATGTTTTCACAGTGATTAATTCTCAATATAAATTTTGGGTTATTGTTTTTAGTTCGGTTAATTTGATGAATTTCCAAAAACTATTACAGAACGTACATGGATTGAAAAATACATGAATTCTTGACTGGGTTGTAAACATTATTAAAATCAAATAGCAGTTACTACAGCCTCAAGAAACGTTGCAGCATAAAGGGTTAATAATGCAAACCCTCTAAGCAGAATAACTACCTTAAGCCAGTTATGAAATCTGTTTTCACTTGCAATGTATTGCCTTATGATTTAAAATATTTTTTTTTATTGATCTAACATCGAGTGAAAAGAGGAAAAAGTTAAAAAATAAGTAATTATACAAATCAAGCACATAAATGTTGTTTAAACAC